CTCATTTTCATCAGAGCTTAGTGAATGCAGTAAAGATCTGCTCATTTCCATCATCCAAACCTGTGCAAGCAAAAATGTGTTTTTAAAAAATGTCCTTGCATCTGATTGGGTATTCTTTGCAAAATGAAGCTTTACCACATTTACATTTACTAAGAAAAAAGTGCAACTGTACTTACAAAGTGCACAGTCTATCTGTCTGTAATAAATCAACCCCTATATGTGGTTTGTAGAGATGAGCGAATTATTCAAAAATTCGATTCGGCTGATTCGCCGAATTTGCGGGAGAAATTTGATTCGATGCGAATTTATTCGCCGCGAATTTAACTTATTAAAAGGGTTTCTAGGCTTCAGAGAGCCTTTATATTAGTGCAGAACACTGTACCTTTAATTTAAATGCCCTTGGAGTCTGCTGGGGAAGAGAAATAATACTGTCAGTCAGTATGACATGCAGATGAGTGCCGTCGATCTTAGAATCACAGCACACTTCACTCATTTGGGCAGTCACGGGGCACGACGAAGAAGATGATGAAGAAGAAGAAGAATGAAAAGAAGAATGAAAAGAAGAAGAAGAAGAATGAAAAGAAGAAGAAGAATGAAAAGAAGAAGAAATGAAGAAGAAGAAGAAGAAGAAGAATGAAAAGAAGAAGAATGAAAAGAAGAATGAGAAGAAGAATGAAAAGAAGAATGAAAAGAAGAATGAGAAGAATGAAAAGAAGAATGAAAAGAAGAAGAAGAATGAGAAGAAGAATGAAAAGAAGAATGAAAAGAAGAATGAGAAGAATGAAAAGAAGAATGAAAAGAAGAAGAAGAAGAATGAAAAGAAGAAGAATGAAAAGAAGAATGAAAAGAAGAAGAAGAGGAATGAAAAGAAGAATGAAAAGAAGAAGAAGAATGAAAAGAAGAAGAAGAAGAAGAATGAAAAGAAGAATGAAAAGAAGAAGAAGAAGAAGAATGAAAAGAAGAAGAAGAAGAATGAAAAGAAGAATGAAAAGAAGAAGAAGAAGAATGAAAAGAAGAAGAAGAAGAATGAAAAGAAGAAGAATAAGAATGAAAAGAAGAATGAAAAGAAGAAGAAGAAGAATGAAAAGAAGAAGAAGAATGAAAAGAAGAAGAAGAAGAATGAAAAGAAGAAGAATGAAAAGAAGAATGAGAAGAAGAATGAAAAGAAGAATGAGAAGAATGAAAAGAAGAATGAAAAGAAGAAGAAGAAGAATGAAAAGAAGAATGAAAAGAAGAAGAAGAAGAATGAAAAGAAGAAGAAGAAGAATGAATGAAGAAGAAGAATGAAAAGAAGAAGAAGAAGAATGAAAAGAAGAATGAAAAGAAGAAGAAAGAAGAAGAATGAAAAGAAGAATGAAAAGAAGAAGAAGAAGAATGAAAAGAAGAAGAAGAAGAATGAAGAAGAAGAAGAAGAAGAAGAATGAAAAGAAGAATGAAAAGAAGAAGAATGAAAAGAAGAATGAAAAGAAGAAGAAGAATGAAAAGAAGAAGAAGAATGAAAAGAAGAAGAATTAAAGTACAGCAAAAAATGTATCTGCAGAGAGCTCCGCTATTTCTGACAGTTCTCTGACAGTTCCTTCACATTTACAGCGGTTGAAACATTGTATCTATTTATTTCCGAATAAAAACATCTGTATCCTAAATGGAAACAAATAGATACAATGTTTCAACCGCTGTAAATGAACTGTCAGAACTGTCAGAAATAGCGGAGCTCTCTGCAGTGACACTTTTGCCGGCTGATCGGGAAAAATTCGATTCGTGCACCCGAAGTTTGCTAAAATTCGGATTCGATGCGAATCGAATTTTTCCTGATATTCGAAACGAATTCCACTTCGCCAGGTTTGATTCGCTCATCTCTAGTGGTTTGCTTGAGCTGCCAACATTATTTTTTTAAAACAATACAATATACCATTCCAAACGTTTTCCCATGATGGCAGGCAAAGATTTATTTCATAAGATACATTTAATAAAATAATTTTTTTATTATTATATATTTTATATTATTTCACTATTATTTATTTTGTTATTTTATATAATTTTAATATTATTTTAGATTATTTTTGTATCTGTCAGGGGGCCCAGGGCAGTTGCCCCTTTATAAATCCTGCACTGCTTACAGCTTTGCTGAAACTGCCTTTAAACTTTAGCGGGCATGTATATATAAAGCAGTGAGGTTAACTTTCACCAAATATTCACTACAGGTGTCTCTTCCTGTTGCATGTATTTTAAATGACAGTGATTATTTCACCCCCAGTGAAAGTCACATGTGATATACAGTAGTGTATTGCCAGATTTTGGCTACAGAGGCTACATTAGTTTTCCTTATTTTCGTTTGCCTTCTTTCTTAACCTGGTAATAATGCAAATAACACACTTCCTGTCACTTTGGGGTTTATTTACTAAAGCTGGAGAGTCCAAAATCAGACTCCCTTCTGCATAGAAACCAATCAGCTTCTAACCTCAGCTTGTTCAATGAAGCTTTGGCAATGAAACCTGGAAGCTGATTGGTTTCTATGCAGAAGGGAGTCTGATTTTGGACTCTCCAGCTTTAGTAAATAAACCCCTTTGTGGCTGAGCCTATTTTACCACTTTTTCTGTGGAAGGAGCTATGGCATGGTTGTTGCATAGGCTAAACATATTTATTTATTTCAGGTACTTATATAGCGCTGCCAATTTACGCAGTGCTTTACATATATATTGCACATTCACATCAGTCCCTAACCCTCAAGGGACATACAATCTAAGGTCCCTAACTTACATACACACACATACTAAAGCCAATTTACACAGGATCCAGTTAACCTACCAGCATGTCTTTGGAGTGTGGAAGAAAACCAGAGTACCCGGAGAAAACCCACGCAGGCACAGAGAGAATATGCAAACTCCAGGGAGGTGGTGCTGTGGTTGGGATTTGAACCAATGACCCTGGCATTGACAGGCAGAAGTGCTAACCATTTAGCCACTGTGCAACGTCTGCCCTTGTTCTTCTCCATTACATGGTGGATTTATGGGGCTAGTAGTTTACAATACATGGTATAACTATAGATACATTTCTCATTTAGGTAGCCTGTGGATGTTGCAGTGACATAAGCAAGGTCTGACAGAAAATGAAGTCACTCTTGTTCATTTTTGAGAGAGAATGACTAGAGGTGAGCTGTAGATGGCTCATTGGTTGATAAATAGAAGAGAGATCCTGAAGACATAGGTGTCCTAATGAGATGACAGAAGCTAGCACACAGATAAAATCGTGAGTGACTCTAAAAACCATCTAGTTAGATTAAAAGAAGAGGTCTTTTCTGCTCTTTTTTTTCTCTATTGTCTTCTCTAATAAGTATTTTATTTTGGCAGAGATTTGCTGAGTTCACATAAAACTGCTATGGGTTTTGGGCAATCTTTTGTAACTGTACGTTCTTATTTATCCAGTTAACAAAGTAGACTTTTAGTGAACTGATTCATATGATTCTTGGATTCGGTCCATCTAACCTAGCAGTGCGCACTGGGATGGCTCGAATCAGCAAAGATTCACAGTTAATTGATTAAAAATGTGCATCCTTATCTCAGCATATGCATACTGTTATTGAAAATTGACACACAACCTCTGCTTCTAATCTTCCCACTCTAACAATCCCTTTGGTAGGTAAATGATATAAACTACAAAGATTTTAGCAACCTTTTTTTGTTTTTTGAAGATTCATCCTATTCTCTTTTGTGAAGAAATTGTTGAAGGCTAAGTTCACCTTTATGAAAAAATCAAAAAGTAAATGCACATATGCATATATGCAGCGAAAAAAATTTACATTTATCATTTTTTCCTGATGAGCCTGCAGACAATTGCACCCATGATTAGTAGATTGAGGGTCCATTGTAGGACTCCTGCAGACACAGCTTGCCTACCTGTATCTCCATATGGGCAGGCATTTACAAAGCTGAAGGAAGTGTTAATGACACATGAGAGTGCTAGCCAGCACCCTTATAGTTCATTGAAATCTACAAGCCACCTGCTGTGGTAGAAGACAGGACTTGTAGTTTATTCATTCACAGATTGCTGTGAATGAAAGACAGGAGCCATGATGTTTTTGAAAAGCGACAGTGGTTGTGGGGAGAGGATCTCCTGCCCCCTGTCATGAAGGGGGGGGTGTAGCGGGGGGCAGACCTGGAGCATGTTACATATTACTCCGCAGATGTAATGTGTAACATGCTCTAAAAAGTAAACTTATGTTTGAACTTGAATGTCCCGTATAGTATGTACTATAAATAAGTAAGTAACGAGTCCAAGGTATAATACTGTGACTTGATATGCCCAGTGCGGGTACTAATCCTGCATTCAGATGTGAGAGTATGGAAAGATTGCCCACTCACCAGAAGCACAATTTTAATGCGCATATAGAAGTCTCGGGTAGCCGGAGGTCCTATATAGGTACAGCCTGGTAATGGGGTGATCCTCAGAAGGTCCCTCTGTATGGTGGTGGGTAGTGGGTGAGCTGGTCTGGTCTAAGGCTTGCTTCCCAGGCCTAAACTGGACATCTGGAATTTTGGGCTGAGGCGTGGAACCTCAGTGCAGAGCAATAAAAATATAGGTGCTCATAGTGTAGTATTCAAATCATTTATTGAGCATAAATATAGGTGATAAAATTGCAGGTAAAAACATACAGGGTGACTGTAAGTAGCAAAGCAGTTTGGACTGCTGAATACACTGACCAGTGTGGTTAGAATGATGGCCGCCGGACCTCCTGATCCGGCGGCGTGACGTCAAGGCGTGCAAGGGCTCCTCCTAGAGGCGTTTCGTGTAATGACACATCTACTGTAGGAGTGATGCCATCTCCCCTACAAAAAAAAAAAAAAAAGTTTCTTTGTTTCTATTATAACATTTTTCAAACAGGTAATTTTTCTCCTTCACTGATGTGCGTTGATGAGGCAGCACTGATGGGCACAGATAGACAGCACTGATGGGCACTGATAGGCAGCACTGAAGGGCACTGATAGGCAGCACTAATGAGGTGGCACGGATAAGTGGCAGTGATAGGCAGCACTAATGAGGTGTCACGGATAGGCGGCACTGATGATGGGTACTGATAGACAGCACTGATAGGTGGCACTGACTGGCATCACTGCTGGGCACTGACTGGCGGCACTGACTGGCGCAACTGCTGGGCACTGACTGGCACAACCGCTGGGCACTGACTGGTGGCACTGGTGGGCACTGATGGGTGGCACTGGTGGGTGGCACTGGTGGGCACAGGTGGGTGGCACTGCTGTGCCCAGGTAGGTGGCACTGCTGTGTGGCACTGGTGGGCACTGCTGGGCACAGGTGGTTGCACTGCTGGGCACAGGTGGGTGGAGCTGGTGGGTGGCGCTGCTGGGCACCAATCATCAGGGCACTGATCATCAGTGCCCTGATGATCGGTGCCGATCCCTGCTCTGACAACTGCCGGTTCTCGGCAGTACTTTCCTCACGCTCTGATAGCGTGAGGAAAGTGCAGCCGAGAACCGGCAATTGCATTTCCCGGTGATCAGCGTGTCATTGGACATGGCTGATCACGTGGTAAAAGGCCGCTGTGATTGGCCTTTTACCACATCACATGATCAGCTGAGCGCGTTCTGGGAGGACGTCATATGACGCCCTCCCAGAACTGGCCGGCCACAGTGTAGCCGTCATTCGGCTATCTGGGGTTGGCAAGTAGTTAACCCCTTGACGCCGATGACACACAAATATGCAGCCTCACGGAACTGGGCTTTTTTCCGTGGGGCCACATATTTGCTTACCTGTCTTTGTGCTGGGAGGGCGCCGCACCCGTCAGGGTCCAGGTATCGCCTCCTGCTACCAGTAGTGACACTGACTCTAGCCAATTGCAAAACTAGTGAAAAACAGTCAGAAAAGATGAGTAGGGAAAAAAATGTCAGTGGTCTCCACCTGTAAAACCATTCCTGTTTTGTGGGTTTTCTCATTGTTGCCCATCTAGTGCACCTGTTGTTAATTTCATTAAGACCAACGGAGCTGAAATTGATTAACAACCCCCATCTGATACTTAACTGACCAAATCAGTATCCCAGGAGTTTAATTGGTTTGGTGCTATACTCTGATTAAAAAGTGTTCCTTTCATTTTTTTGAGCAGTGTAGACTTGGCCTTTGCATTATTAAATAAAATGCATAGTGCTGTCTATAAGTGTAATCAGACTTAAAAATAATGTTTTTCAGTAAGGAACATACATTCCACATTAATAATTATGCTACCAAAAATCAGTGTATGCTGTAAATTGCCTTCAGTTTTGTTCCTGTTCCTTCTTGCTGGAGGCTGTCATTTTGCTTTGAGCCCCGGAACAGCAGTAAATCATAAAGTGGAACTAAACCCATCGATTCAAAATACAAAGCACAAAAGACAGTTACGTTCCTGGAATGCTGGGATTGCTACCTTTTACATTTAGGGCTCGTTCACACTTGGCTGTTTTACCAACGCTTGCCAAACGCCCCTATAGCGTTTGGCAAGCGTTGGTCCGGCGTTTGTGGGGCGTTATTAACGCTCGGCAAACGCTCCGCAAACGCTCCGCCGCCGCATGCGCGGTTTAGTGGCGGTTGCTAGGCGTTTGCCGAGCGTTAATAACGCCCCACAAACGCCTATAATACAGTTTGAGTGGTGTTACCGCTCCGCAAACGCCCCGCAAACGCGTCGCAACCGCACCGCAAACGCCGGCCGGGCGTTTGCGGAGCGGCACCATAGACGAGAATAGGAGGCTTCAAAGCCTCCTGACTCGACCAGAGGCGTCCGTTTTGCCGCGACGCAACGCGACGTGACGCAAACGCTCCCGTTAGAACAGCACCATGTGCTGTAATGTGCAGAATTGGCAGAGGCGTTTGGGAAGCGGTAAAAACGCTTCCCAAACGCCTCTCTGACGCCTGCACACAAGGCTAGTGTGAACGTAGCCTTACTTGTGTCTTCAAACTGTCAAACCATCAAATGGCTGGTTTGGCAGTTGGAGATCAAATGGAAGCAGCTTCCTTGGCTGTAAAGGATAGGAGGGTTTAATTCTGGTTTTAGAGCTCATTCACACCATATATGCCTGAAAACTAATGGAAACTGACATGCAGATTTCACTTGCAGAGACATCAGTTTACATCAGTTTTCATGTGTGCTTCAATGAGTTTTTTATGCACATTGCAGATTCCTACGCAGAAAAAATACTAGTGTCCGTGGTGTGAACAGGGCACATAGGGAACAAGTGATTTTGCTGTGCTCTTGCAGAAAAAAAACTGGCATTTCTGCACCATGGTGTGAACAAGACCTAAGACTGTCAGCAGATTGGCCTCTACAAATTCAGCAGTACCTAAAAATGCCTAAAATGGAGAGCAACTAAGCATGTGCAGAGCAGGGTGAGACAGTGGGGGGCATTTACTAAAACTGGAGCTTGCAGAAAATGATGCAACACTGCATAGAAACCTATAATTATCTTACAGGTTTAAAGGTGGGAATACACGATTAGAAAATCGACCGATCAGTCATCCGACGACTGAGAGCCGTTCGTTCGTTGGTCGAAATCGTGGCCCACATTAACCATCTAAAAAAATCATTTGTTGGGCAATACGTAGTGTTGACGTCTTCTGTACAAGTGGAAGTGATGTAGCGTGCGTGTAATGTAGCCACGCCCTTCCGGCCAGAGCGAGCGATATACCCAACAATTAACAGCAATGAGTATAATATAGTTTATTATTTTACCTATATACATAAATAGTGATACATAAAAATATAATATGCAGAATTCTGGTTTCATTATCTCATTAGGCCAAGCTACTTATAACATTTGGATTTTTGTTCATGTTTACGAAGATTCCTTGGACATAAACATCTGGGTCATCTTCTGTTTCCGCTCATGCATGATTGCGCTCGATAGATTTTTTTTCGTACGACCGTCATACCATAGAAAATCGGTCGTTCGTATGCGAAACAACAAAATTTTTCACTGTTGTTCAACCGGATTTTTTTGTTCACAATATCATTATCAGTTAAAACATCCTGCTCATCAACGAAGAGAAAATCGTTCGATCAGTGGTTCTGTGAAATTTTTCACACAATTTTTTTATCGTGTGTATGGGGCATTATTCTTAAAGCTTAATTGAACAAACTGAAGTTAGAAACTCATTGGCTACCATGCACAGCTGCACCAAAATCTGAGTGCACCAGCTTTAGTAAATCCCCCCCAGTGTATTTTACTGGGCTTTAAACAGTAGAGGCACTTAATTTTAATGTTTTACATAGTTATAGCTGCAAAAGGGACCAGCCTGAAATGATCTAGCGGGACCTAATTTTCTGACTAAAGTTCTAGGACTGGATCCGATAATCGTGAAACAGAACAGAAGTTGTGGCATCAAAATTTGTCAGTTATCATTTTTAGCTATTTTTAACCAGGGTTTTTAGTCTTTGTCCCCTTAAGGAGAATTCCTGGAGACAAAACTGGAAGTAGGTGGAAATTTCCACAAATTGAGAAGAAAAGGTTTCCCTATTGAAAGGTTTCCTCTTACCTCCTGCTCCAGTAATTACTATAAAATTTTGTATTTTCCATCACTTTTTGTTCCAGTGACAAAAGTCACATGGACAAATAAAGAAGCTGAATCTCCCCTGTGGGAACACAGATGGCAAATAGAACCTGACAAATGTTCTAACCCTTCCACAATCTATCCACAACTAAGGAAAATAATGTTTGGGATAGAGATACACTTTAAAAACAAATTGACTGTGTGGGTAGGAAAATAATCACAGTAAGTAGGAGAATGATGCTTGCCTCCGGGACTATTTGACCAAACGCTAAACAAGGTGTTTCAGCATTCCATTCTTGAAACAAGGAACATTACACAATTATAGACCTGTATATTCACTATCTGGGCGGATGATTCATGAATTTGACAAGCAGAATGTGCATTCTGTTTCTGAATTAATTACATGTAAATTTGACAGGTAAATTCATATATTTAGTTAAGCACCAGTTATACATAGTATAGCCTGATAAGTAACAAATTTAGCCTTAAAAGTACACACAAATTTTACAAGATGTGATGATACTTTAGTGGTTGGATACAACCCATCTGCCATATTCTTTGTTCATTGTTCCACCCTGTAATTTAACCTCCCTGGCGGTATGATTATTTCAAATTTTTTGTGCTGAAAGCGGTACCATTTTTTTGCATGGAAATATGTAGTTTTTTATTGTAGGCCTGTCATTTTTAGGAATAACTCACTGAAATCTGTCCGAACAAGAGTCTAGTAAACATTCCGGATATGATAAAACTTGAAACACAAAATCATAAATTATAATTTAATAAATAATCATAAAAAATTATAATATAATAATAAATTTAATTCAATAATATAATCAAACCAAAAACACTGAAATTTGAAATAGAGCGCCAAGTTCGCACATCGCTGAGCAAAGTCGCAGAATCGTTTTCAGTCTGATGACGAATTTCCCCACAAATCATTATCACTCAATTCTGCAAGTGGTTCTGATTTACTATCGCTGTTCTCTAGCTGGTCTAAAACCGATTTTGACCTAAAGGGACGCTTTTTGGACGCCATGGACCTTTCCCAGTTTCCAGGCAGAAAGAACAGTCAAAATGCAGGTAGGGCACAGGACAAAGTAGTAGGGACAAAATGTATGTGAAATGCTTTGAGACAGCAATGTTTTACTATGTTTTATTCGTTTTAAAAAAAATTACATTTTTTAAAACTTTCAAATTTGCCGCCGGTTCCGGCGCCTGTATGTCCCGACGTCACAGGGACTGGAACACGGAAGCCGGATGCCGGCATCCGCCCGAGGAGATGGCCGGGGACGTTGCAGGAGGGACATCGTGTGAGCGAAGGACAAGGTAAGCGCTGCAGGGAATCGCTGAGCAACGCTGCATGGTAAGCCCGAGTGTAGCTTGGGGTTACCGCTTTTGGTACTGAAACTTTACCCCGAGCTACACTCGGGAATACTGCCAGGGAGGTTAAAGGAAACCAATCAGAGATAGGTATTTGTAAGTCTCTGATGCTCCAACTAGTACCTCTTATCCACCAGGGACATGTGTATGTGCAGTTGTCCAAATGTATTTTCTTCTGCTCAGAGCAGAAATTATAGCTCAATGTTTGACTAGAAGGCCATCATGGAAGCCAATCTGTTTCCTACCTGAACGCAAGCCTTACACTGTGGGGTTGGTTAACTAAAACTGATGTACTCAGAATCTGGTGCAGCTGTGCATGGGAGCCCATCAGCTTCAGCTTGTTCAATTAAGCTTTGAAAAAAACCTGGAAGCTGATTGGTTTCTATGCACCAGATTTTGCACACTCCAATTTTTAGTAAATCAACCCCTGTTTATGGGCTGTTAGATAAAGGCAAAACAGTAAGTTACCAAAGCGTTTAGCTTTCTTTCATG